GATGATCGGTTCCCTGCTTTGGGAACCGATTTTCGCATTACGACGATCAGCGAACAGCTGATCGTCGGGTTCCAAAATGGCTGCCAGCTGAAGAAAATGGCCCCCCGCTGTTTTCTAGGATGGATTCCTCACTAGACAGGTACCGAAAATGGCCGCCGTATGGAGGATCTTCACTGGACGATGAGTTTTTAGCCCATTGGAACGCATTAACCGGGTTTTAATGCGTTTCAATGGGTTTTTTTATTTTCGCTTTACAATATTTTCGCTCTACAGCCTTGAGAAAAGAAGACTGAGGGGTGATATGATAGCACTTTTCAAATATTTGAAAGGCTGACCTACAGAGGAGTGGCAGAATCTGTTCTCGATCATCCCAGAGTGCAGGATATGCAACAATGGGCTGATGTTAAAGGAAGCCAGATTTTGGTTGAATATCAGGAAAAACAGTCCTGTCAGAGCAGTACGACAGTGGAACCAGTTACCTCAGGAGTTGGTGAGCGCTCCAACCCTGGAGGCATTCAAGAAAAACTTAGGATAATCACCTGGCAGATATGCTTTATTTGTATTCCTGCACTGAGCAGGGGGTTGGACTTGATGGCCTTGTAGGCCCCTTCCAATTTCACTTTTCTATGATTCTATGATGTCTACATAAGTTGGACCATGTTCTTATCATTGCCTGTTGCCATTCTTCTGTCTACGGGACCAATAGACACCACCTTCCAGACAGAAAGATGACAAGGTGTGCAGAAGAGCATCTTTTCCTCTGTGTTCCTTCTTGTTCTTCTCTCTCATTTATCACTCAGACACGGGTGTTGAAGAAATGGCAACAGCGTAGAGGCGAATGAGCAGAAGCATAGCAATTTCTGATACAAGCTCTAAAGATGAACATGAGGACTCTTTTTACCTGACTTTGGGTTAGGTGACAGGTTAGCTACCGAATTCACAGTCCTTTATACTTCATACTACACTGTTGGATCCACTGTCTTATTATTATACAAAATATGCATCACCCCATCCACCGGGAGCAACCTTACCTGGAGAAGACAGATATTTTCAATGGTACACAGGTAGCAGAAATGAGTGTTTGGTGGGCACATTGCTAACGAGCGCTGATTGTCCTTCTGATAGCCTTCATCACATAATGTCCAAGCAGTGGGCAGAATATAATTTTTAGAGGGACATGTAATGTTATGATCTTCTTAATCTTCCTTCACATCTTTTTAAAGATATGATAAATTTCTTGCACAAAATGCATGCGTTTCAGGGGCTTTACACCCATTTTGAGTACAGCTGTTTGAAAGTAGAATAGTGTAAGGAAGACCGCACCTTGAAGTATGAGTATTCATTAAAAGACCGTGAGTTCAAAGGGTATTCGTGGTGGTTTTCACAGGGAGCCTATTTCTGTCACATTAAACACAACATGGTCACAACACGACTGAGTCCACGTTTGGCTGCAACTTGGAATAACCCATTGCACAGATGTGGGCAAATAAATGTACGTTAACATCACTATTGTGGGTGCAAATCAGAAAAAAAATAGGGCGGATAAACCAACAAACCAATGCATGGTTCATCAGGAAAAAGTTCAGAAATTTGTGGTTTGTCAACTTGGATGAGTCATGAACCAAGGTGAACTGCCATTTTACTAGTTTGTATTCATCTCTAGTTTGAATCTATTGGTTTGTATCAGAAAAAAAAAGTGCTCCATCTTCCATGGGATAGCCCTTCAGTTACTTGAATATGCTATCATTTCATCTTTTTAAAGGATCAGATAGACAAGTTTCTCAACTGCATCTCATAGACTTTGGTCTCCTGACCCATCACCACCTTGACTCCCCCAGATATGTTCCAGCAGTTCAATACTCTTCTTAAACAGGGATGTCTGGCAGTGTACATCTTCTTCCAGATGAGGTCTCACCAAGGCAGATTTGAGTGGTATTATTACAGCTGTTGATCTAGATACTATGCTTCTATCGATATAACCCTTAACTGCATTGGCTTTGCTTGTTGCTGCATCATTTTGTTGACTCATGTTTAGCATTTATGGTCCATAAAACCCTCTGGATTAGGCATCCTTCAGTCTTGAGAGACTATGGTAACGTGTTCTAAATAGAGGACTTGGAACAGCATCTAGTGTGGCTGAGAAAGCCAATTCGAGAGTGACCATCCCTTCCACACGGAAGACAAATACATTCTGTCTCCTGTCCAGCTCCATGGTTTGGCTGGTTTCAGGACTTCCTCTTTGCCTTGGCCTGCTGGACAAAGGTCTCTTCAAATTGGGAGAGGACATGATGCACCGCCTGCCTTCAGGCTGAACGCTCAGAGGTCAGGGTTTCCCATCTGTTGAGGTCCATTCCTAAGGCGTTCAGATCCCGCTTGCAGATGTATCGCAGCTGTGGACTCCCTCTGGGGCGATTTCCCTCCACTAATTCTCCATACAGGAGATATTTTGGAAGACCTCTAGCCTCTTTTCATAAAGGCCAGGTGTTCATCTCCTTCCTGTATTCCTCCATCAAATTTTCTTTCTTACCTAAATGTAGAATTTCCATTTTTCCTCAGTTGAAATTTATTATGTTCATTTTGCCCCAATTTTGTAACTCGTTAAGGTCCCATTGCATTTCTATATTTTGAGGTATTCTCTAGCCTCTTTTCATAAAGGCCAGGTGTTCATCTCCTTCCTGTATTCCTCCATCAAATTTTCTTTCTTACCTAAATGTAGAATTTCCATTTTTCCTCAGTTGAAATTTATTATGTTCATTTTGCCCCAATTTTGTAACTCGTTAAGGTCCCATTGCATTTCTATATTTTGAGGTATTAGTTGCCCTGACCTCTCTGGCTTCAAAATGATTTTAAGAGAACTTGTACAAATAAGAGGATGCTAGTTCAAATCAAGCTTGAACTCTCTCTCTATAGAAAAATGATTAAATACGGGCTATCACACTTTGGGCACCTTATGAGAAGACAAGACTCACTGGAAAAGACAATAATGCTGGAAAAAGTTGAAGGGAGCAAGAAAGGAGGAAGACAAAATATGAGATGGGTTCACTCAATAAAGTAAGGCCTTCTGTTTACACGAACTGAGCAATGTTGTAAATGGTGGGTGTTTTACTAATACATAGGGTCACCATAAGCTGGAAGGGACTTAATGGCACGTAAAGCAATATTACCTTCATGTGAAACTTTTTAGATCATATTATGCACTTTTGCATTCATTAAAAAATGGGCATGGGTCAAAAACACTAATACGTATTATTGACCTTCTAGTAACAAGACAATGCAGTTGTGACTGTCACAATCCTAGCTGAGGTGGTGAGAGGGCCTCTTTGGTCAAGGGTTCAGTGAAGTCAAGACCCTTGTTAACTCCACTGCTGCTCCCAGTTCTCATTCAGGCCCCAGTTCAAGTCACTGGGCCAGTAGAGTCCAGAGTCCACGGCTGGGATCTAAAAGGGCAGAGCATTTATAGGCTCCCTTGTCCTCCAAGTCTGTCCTGGCGAAGGGCCTCTTTTTGCTGCTGCTTCCTCCAGTGCCTTCTCTTGGTCTTGGTGAGGCTAGGATGCCCAGCTAGTCATCTGGACCTCCAAGGGGTCAAAGACAGTGATTGGCTGAAGAGTAGCATTTCTTGCCTGCATCTTCATGCTTTATTGGGTTGGGTCTAGTCTAGATGCATTCTAGAGGGGTTCCCAACCATGGGTGGCCAGTCCTTACTGAGGGCATAGAAGATAGGGTCCACTTCCTTTGCCACCCCCTGCCCACTCCTCTCACTCAGAGCCTGTCCTCCTCTCCTCCTCCTCCTCCTTACCTAAGCTGGGATCCTGCAAGCTTGACCCAGCCTCCATCCCCTCACCAAAGTGTGACTCATCAGCCTTTGCTTCCTTTCTCCCACTTGGAACCTCCCTTGCCCTCTCTGAACCCTCATGCCCCTCTGCCACTAGGGTCTCCATCAAGTCTGCAGGGGGGGGCACGGGAGAAGGGCAGACCGCCTGGAACAACTGGAATGTCCCCCCTCACAGCCACTAGGGGGCCAGAGTTTAGTAAGTGACGAAGACCATTCTCCACCAAGCAAAACAAGATGCATTCATAGCTCACTAATGCTGTGTTTATTTCAGTGGAAAGCAGCAGACACTGGAGTACGAGGAATCCTTTCACGTTGTTTGAAATCCAGGTGAATGGTTTCACATTTCTATTGGACAGGATGTTGTAAATGAAGAAATAGCTGGAGCTCCAGATACTCCATGGGCTCTAAAAACAAAAACAAATTATTTTATTTTATTTATCAGATTTTTATCCCGCCCTTCTAGACAATGTCTACAAAAACAGATCTACACAAGTGTTTTGAAATAAATTCTTTCGCCTCATAAAAATTCTGATTCCCATCACAAATACAGTGGTGCCTCAACTTACATACATCCCTACTTACGACCATTTCGAATTACAACCAGCTCCGGCCGCAAAATTTCGCTTCTACTTGCAACCGGAGCTTCCACATATGAACAGAAAAAGGCAGGGGGAAAGGTGGGAAATTCAAATTTCTAACCGTAGGAGGCAACGAGAGAGAGAGAGAGAGAGATAAAGATAATATTGTACACAGTGTCACAATGCTTCAGTGGCAGAAACACCAGATCCATAAGTCTCTAGAAGATTGTAGCTCCATCATGCAGCCCAAAACGCAAGTACATAAAATGGAAAAGGTATTTAGATGTACAGTGGTGCCTCACTTAACAACGATAATCCGTTCCAGGAAAATCGCCGTTAAGCGAAAACATTGTCAAACAAAATTAAAAACCCCATTGAAACGCACTGAAACCCGTTCAATGCGTTCCAATGGGGTAAAAACTCACCATCCAGCAAAGATCCTCCATACAGCGGCCATTTTCGCTGCCTGAATAGCGAGGAATCCGTCCCTAAACACAGAGGGGAGCCATTTTAAGCACCCGGCAGCCATTTTGAAATCGCCAATCAGCTGTTAAAAAACACACTGTTTTGCAAAGAATCGGTTCCCGCCCAGCTGCTATGGGGCTATGGGGCTTGCAGTGTTGTTTTGGGGGAGTATTTTTTTTTTTGAATGGAACAGATTAATCACCTTGTGGGCTATCTAACTCCCCCCTCCCCAGACAAACAAATGAACTGATTTGTGGTTTGTCAGTTCGCCAGGGAAAATTTGTGGTTCATCAAGGTTGATGAATCACCAACCAAGATGATTTACCATTTTGGTGGTTCATCCCCATCTCTAATTAAGATCACCAGGAGAAGCCTTTCTCTTGGTTGCACCATCTTCACAGGTATGTTTGGTGGACACCAGGAGAGGGCCTTCTCTGTGGCTTCCCCCAGACTGTGGAACTCCCTCCCACTGGAAGCCAGCTTGGCCCCATCATTGCTGTCTTTTTGCAAGCAGGCAAAGACCTTTCTCTGCAGGTTGGAAGGCAGCCTGGCCCCATCTTTGCTGTCCTTCTGCAAGCAGGCAAAGACCTTTCTCTGCAGGCAAGCTTTCCCTTAGCAACTGGCTCCCTGAGTGGGATTTTTAAATGGGTTCTTGTGCCTTACTGCTTTGATTGTGTTTCTGGTCTTGCTTTTGTCTACCCTTTCTAGTATTTGTGTACTTCTGCGTTTAGCTTTAAATCTTGTCTTTTAAAGGTGAAATGGCTCCCTGAGTGGGATTCTTAAATGGGGTCTTGTGCCTTGATGCTTTGAATGTGTTTCTGGTCTTGCTTTTGTCTGCCCTTTCTAGTATTTGTGTACTTCTGTGTTTAGCTTTAAATCTTGTCTTTTAAAGGTGTAAGCCACCTTGGGTCCTTTTGAAGGAGAAAGATGGGGTAACACTATTTTAAATACATAAATAAACAATAAAGAAGGGAAGGGAAATGAAAGGTTAATATCAAGAAACTACCTTTCCCTCCTGCACGACTTGTGAAACACACACACACACACAGACACACACACACACACACAGACACACACACACACCGTGGGTGGAGGAGATGAAGAAAAGCAATTTTCCTAACAGCCCAATGAGTAAGTAGCACATTAGATTTTTCCCTGCATTTTAGTTGACAGCTTTGATGCACATGCAGACAATGCCTGGGCTGAGGATAGTTGAGCAGCCCTTAAGCCACCCTAAGCAGACCAGCAAGCAGGCATACAAGAGGACAAGCCAGCTCTTATCACTTTGGAAAGAGCATGAGGCAGGACAAAGGTTCTCCCCCCACCCAAAGGTGAAAGCAGTTTGAACTGAGTATGAAACATGAATAGCAGTGGTCCTCAACCTTGAGCCTCCAGACGAAACATGAATAGCAGTGGTCCCCCCAACATTGGGCCTCCAGATGTTCTTGGACTAAAACTCCCAGAAGCCTTCACCACCACCTCTGCTGGCCAGGATTTTGGGAGCTGAAGTTCAAGAACATCTGGAGGCCCAAGTCTGGGGACCACTGCCCCATAGAACCATAGAATTATGAAGTTGGAAGGGGCCCATGAAGCCATCGAGTTCAACCCCCTGCTCAAGGCAGGGATCCAAATCAAAGCAGATCTGATAGATGGCAGTCCAATTTTCTCTTGAATGCCTCCCCACCTCTTGAGGGAATTAGGTTCTATTGTCATACTGCTCTAACAGTTAAGAACTAAACAGAGACACAAAGGATGGGCCATTTTAAGGAGCTAATGACTACACAATGGGAAGACAGAGAAAGTGGTCAGAAAGGGCATCAGGGAGGAGTCCTAGATGGCTCTGGCTACAGGGGGAAGTTCTTGTGCTTCAACCCTGTGCAGGGTGGCATGACTACACCACTGCTTCCATCTCTGCTAGCATAAACCCTTGACCTGTCTACCACTGACTTTGCCTGTCATGTCCCTTTCATTCCACTGGCCCATGGCTTCCCTCAACAAAATCTACTCTGCTCCACCCAGCAAAGGGCGCCAACTGCCATAGACGTGAGTCAACAGTACATGACACTGGGAAAGCAAGCCAAATGTTTTTTCTAACACTTACCCCAAGAACATTTGCCTACTCGTGAGGCAGGGACTTCATACAGCACGATGTGCCTCTGCTGCAGGTTCCGTATTCATATAAACTGGGAGAACAATGCCCAACCGAGCAGTAGCCTTCAGCAAGCAAGCAAGTCCACATATTCTTAATGGCACTGTAGAAAACCAGGAAGAAGAACACACACCAAAAGGGATGACAACACAATCAAATGCAACTAGACGGGAATCGGGGCAGGTCGTCTCTGCCGATGTGCTCACTTATCAGGTGATAGGCATGTGCAGTTCCAGAAGAGAAGCCGGGCCGCTATCTCTGAAGATGGCAAAGGAGGAGGAGAAGTGGCGGACGTGGCAGGACCATGTAAGGAAGGGACAGGGGCAGAGGAAAGTGGTGGGCTGCAGAGGGGGCAGCGGGAGAAGGTTTGGAAACCTTCCAATCTCCAGGCACAAATTGGAAAAAGCGAACTGCAAACCCCCACAAAACTCCACTACAAATGGGAGTATTCATATTCATATACGAATATCCCCATGCAGCTGGACTTAATGAGGGTCCAGCCTGTCCACTAATGCATCTGTTGGTGGCGGTCTTGCTCTTCCTTCCAGTTATTCCCAGAGTGTCATTCTCTTCCTGCTCAGCCTTAACGAGGGTCAGACTCAGGGGCCTGACCCTCGTTAAGTCTAACTGTGTTGGGCTATTCGTATTCATATACGAATAGCCCCATCTCTAACCGCCAGTTTTCCAGTTCATAGAAAAGAATTTCTTTTGTATTTGAGAGTCTCATGAAAGGGGTCTTTTGCACCCCGAGACTCATTTGAAAAGGAAGCACACCTTCCAATTTGCACATGGCACACAGATGAGGCATTTCCAGGACATAAAGGATGCACAGAAGAATGTATACATTTTAAAGGCATTTTGAAGAGTTATGTTAAAGCTGTGTTTAACTTAATGGAGAAACATGTGTGCAAGTTAGATAAAATAAATACCCGAATCCGATTCTTATCTCTAGCTACAGCAGTTCCACTGAATCTATGGGAACTTTGCATATCAGCATTTCCGTACGTTCTGCTTGATCTCCTGCATTTGGGAACTATAGGATTTAGGCCAAATGAGGGACTTGGTGGCGCTGCAGGTTAAACTTTAACTTAATGGAGAAACATGTGTGCAAGTTAGATAAAATAAATACCCGAATCCGATTCTTATCTCTAGCTACAGCAGTTCCACTGAATCTATGGGAACTTTGCATATCAGCATTTCCGTACGTTCTGCTTGATCTCCTGCATTTGGGAACTATAGGATTTAGGCCAAATGAGGGACTTGGTGGCGCTGCAGGTTAAACTGCAGAAGCCTAACTATAGGATTTAGGCCAATATATGCACAAATGAGGGACTTGGTGGCGCTGCAAGTTAAACTGCAGAAGCCTCTGTGCTGCAAGGTCAGAAGACCAGCAGTCTTTTCCAAGGAGATTTCTCTTCTCATGAGATGGCCAAAGTATTGGAGCCTCAGCTTCAGGATCTGTCCCTCCAGTGAGCACCCAGGGTTGATTTCCTTCAGAAAGGATAGGTTGAGTTCACTATAATTCATGTTTTTTTAGTATCTCCGGGTGAGTGTTTGGAAACAGCGGCTTGGAAATTATCTTGCATATATATGGGGGTCCTACTGTAGTTGGTTTGAAATCTGCTGCAGTTGTTAAGAAGAGCCAGTGGCTGGAATCCTATTGGTTATGCCACCAGCGTAATGCCAATAGTATAACATTTAACAGAAAATTGTCATAAGTTTAGAAGTTTAGAAGCAGCCATAGGCATTTCCGTCATACACCAGTCTCATGACTTGGTAAGCCATTGGCAGTCCTTCCTCTGACTTCTTAATTTGTGCCAGTTCACTGCTAAAAGGTACACAGCTGGAAATATGTACCAAAAAAAAAGCTTCCAGTCAATATGACGTATTTCCAGCGCTGCCTAAAAAATTTTATTTGGGAAATTGGCATACCTTGTACAGCAAATAGCAAATTGCCCACATTGTCCACTCTTGGAAGAAAAGCGAGGGCATCTAGTATGTGTGCACATGCCATTGGAAGTCCAGCATATAAAGACCTCAAGTCCAAAGCCAGGATCACTGACTTGGCTGAGCACTGCAGAAAAAGGAGAGAGAGAGAGAGAGAGGGAGAGGGAGAGGGAGAGAGAATGAAATGATGGGAGAGGGAGAGAATATTCCAATAAAGAAAGAGTTAGATTCATCCTCCAACACACTTTCATGATATTATTTAATTTCCTGGCCTTATATATATTTCAGCCGTATGATCATACAAAATATGCCTCAGTGTGTGTGTGTGTGCGTGCACATGGACACACACACACACACACACACACACACACACACACACACACACACACACATTTCTTACCTGGAACAGCCAGATATATCCACACAAAAATGACAAGGGGACGCTCCCAAGCCTTCATAGCAGTTATTTCGCTGGAAATCTGGCTAGTATGGGAAATTGAATTGTTATGATCTCAGGATCCTGATATAACTAGACTCTACATACAGGTTTCTGGGTTATTTGATGAAAACAAACACATGTGAACCAGAAGTCCTTTTTGTCTTCTTCCTAGAAAAGAGTGTCTGAACCTTTCTCCCCAGCATGGAGATGGCTCAGAAAAAAGTTTGCTAAACTCTAGAAATGTTTGGTTTTCAAGAGGAATACTGAGTGGTTCACAGCAGAAGTGAGTGGTTATTGGGTGTAGCAAGGCAACCTTTGGTGGTACTGATTGTGCCATCAGATAGCTTTCATCACAAGAGGTTCAGAGGTTGTACAGAAAGAGTTTAATAACTTTCTCCTTTGTTGGTACCGATTGTGCCATCAGATAGCTTTCATCACAAGAGGTTCAGAGGTTGTGCAGAAAGAGTTTAATAACTTTCTCCTATTTCATGCATGGCTCCAGAAACAGTGACTCCAGGTTCTTCCCACTTGCCCATCTCAGATGCTCGTTGTTGCCCTTTCTCAGAAACAGCTCCTCTGGGACTTTGCGACACCACACTGGGTAGCCAGCAACCACAACAAGATAGATGCTAGTTTAACACAAAGGAAACCTGGGAGAGATTTTATTAGGGGGAAAAATGAGTGCACCTTGCCTTCAGTTTGCCCAGACCTACAGGATCTCTGCGAAGCAACCAACATGAACCTGACACAACTCCGGGAGGCAGTAGAAGACAGGAGGGCCTGGCGTTCTCTGGTCCATGGGGTCACGAAGAGTCGGACACGACTAAACGTCTAAACACACAAAACACAGGATCTCTTGAATCTTTCTTATGAAGATGGAGATGAATGAAGGTCTTCCACTGCTTTAGACAAGCAATGGAGAAGTTCCCCAACATTACACAGGACTGCCATCATTACTGTCACCTCATCCTGCACATCCAGTCTCCACAGGATCTACAGTGATTCTGGGAAGAAGTTTAAGCAATATTACTGCTTTCCCCTAGAGATGGGCATGAACCATCAGTTCAGCAGTTCATCCTGGTTTGTTTACCATCCCAACAGGAATTTGGTGGTTCAGTATCCTGCCCCCTCTGGTGGGTGTTCACTGAGGGGCAGTGCCCAGAGGAGGTAGGGCAGGGAAGCCAGGAAGCTGCCTGCAAGTGGGCGTCTGCTTGAGGGGGCAGGATACTGAAACACTGAACACTTGTTGCAGTTGGAAACAAACCAGGATAAACCATCAAAACAGTGGTTTATGGCCATATCATCTTACCATGTCTGCCATTTTGACTTGGGAATGAACCAAAAGAAACAATCTGTGACAATGCTAACTGTCTGTTCATTTTCCCTCTTCCTCTCCAAAGTATGGCTTTGTTCTAATTCTTATCCTGCTTAGGACCACTCGTCGTCATCATCATTTTTTATAAATGACATACTGTTTGGGTGTCCGTTCTCTGCAATCCTGATGCCACAAAGCAGAATCTTCCCTTTGACTGTGATGCTCATGAAGAGCGTGCCAGCATGAGGACTGAGTCCGGCTTACTAAGTGATTTCTTAATTCATACTTGTTAGCAATTTCATAGCGCATGCCTGAGAAAATCAGGTCTAACTGTATTGTTGATACAAAGACGTTGGGTATGGAGAAAATCATCTCTGAGACGGAGAAGTTTCTGTGAATGTGGTGGAATAACCTTGCACATTGGTTTAATAGCTCCGTGGTTTACGTATCCGGTTGTGGGGCCAGAGGTTGGGAGTTTGATTCCTGACTGTGCCTCTCACATGTAGAGCCAGCCTGTGTGGCCCTGGGCAAGCTGCACAGTCGCAGGGGACCCCCAGAATAGGGGGGGCACTTCTGAGTATTTTCAGCTTGGAAAATCTTGAATAGTCATAGCTATTCTTTGCCTATGGTTCACTGCAGTTTGTTTGCACTTTGCTTTCATAGCTCTGTGGTTTAGGTATCCAGTTGTGGGGCCAGAGGTTGAGAGTTTGATTCTGGACTGTGCCTCTCACATGTAGAGCCAGCCTGTGTGGCCCTGGGCATCATGCGCAGTCCCAGGACAACCTCCCCAAAGAAGGGAACGACAAAGCACTGTTGAGTGTTCTCTACCTGGAAAACTTTCAAAAGGTTTGCCATTAGAATTGACTTGACGACAGACAATTCTTCTCATTGTTTTCACATCTATATTTTTGACGTCTTTATTTATATATTTACGGGACAAATTGTCCTTTGTAAGATCCAAGTGTAGACTACATTTCTCTAAGAAGGAGATGCAGGATTGTCATATTAGTTCCACAAAGGAGTGGGTGTGGACTGAATGTGGCCAATACAGTAGAAGGATGGCTTTCTCAATAGACACAGAGGCCAGGCATGGCTGGGCATATTTGTTAGGGGAATTCCAGGCAAATAATCTGGATTTCTTTTTGAGAGGTAACACTGATCTTATGTTGACAATGCCATGTTACTATGTGGCTCTGTAACTGGACATGGACCTATTTGTTTGTTTGTTTCATTCATTCATTCATTCATTCATTCATTCATTCATTCATTCATTCATTCATTCATTCATTCATTCAACTTTTATCCTGCTCCCATTAGCGTCACAGCACTACTTTGGGTGGGCCACAACTCGTAAAATAGCAAAACAAAAATGAAAATAGAAATATTAGAACTGATAGCAATAAGCCTTAAAAAAACACACAACAAAACAGATGGCATCAACTAATCTCAGAGTGGATGGAGGAAAAGAGAGGAGGTAAGAAGAGGAGGTAAAAGAGTGGAGGAGCAAGGTGGTCAGGTGGCGTTGGTGTGGAAAGCCTCCCTTAAAGCAATGTCTATAATTGCTTCCAGCTGGAGTTCCTCTGGAATCTGGAACCAACCTTAGCAGAAATAAAAGCAGCCTTGGATTCCCTCACCTCCGGCAAGGCACCTGGAAAGGATAACATCCATGTTGAAGTGCTGTAAAGAGATCATCACCACCGAACTGTATGAAGCCTTTTGTCTTTGCTGGAGGGAAAGTGGAGTACCACAGGACATGAAGGATGCAAACATTGTCACATTGTACAAGAACAAAGGAGACAGGGGTGACTGCAATAACTGTCGTGGCATCTCTCTTTTCAGCTTTGTAGGGAAGCTGCTTGCCCGTGTTGTGCTGAAGAGGCTCCAGGTGCCTGCAGACAGAGTCTATCCAGAATCACAGTGTGGATTTCAAGCTAATAGATCCACCACTGACATGGTATTCTCCCTCAGACAGTCGCAGAAGAAATGCAGGGAACAATAGCACACTCCTGTACTGCAGTGAGTCC